TGTGCACCAGGTACTTCATAGCACACTTAGTACACGCGAAAATAGCGTGCACAGGAGTTAAAAACACAAAGCAGGGTGACCTTGCTTGAGGTATTAACATCAGTAGAATCATTGCTTTAGTTGAACTCTTGAGGTAAAGGGTAAAAAAATGGTCGAACATTGGCACTTTCAATTCTAATGGAGCGCTTCTTACACAGTACATCTTTCTCCTTGGAGGAAGTGGGATGATGAGAGCTTTTAAAAAGTTTTAATACTTTGTAAAAAAAAAAAAAAAGTCTTGGTAGTTTGAATCAGTCCTTTAGGGAACTGATAGATGTCCTATTAAATTGGTAATGTTATTACTTCATTTTATTGCTCTATTAAATAATATTAAATATTCTGTAAAAAATAAACACCTGAACTAAAATAAAACTTAGGTGCCTGGTTTATCAGCTTGCTAGCAATGCTGACAATACTTTCAATCTAAATCTCTAAGCCTTATTCTAGTCTGGTTTTTAAAAAAAGAAAACAAAAAAAACATAAAATTAGTGTTATCCATTACATGTCCTTAATCTATTTTGTAAAGTTGAATTTTGATAAAAACTGAGTTGTCAGTGTAGAGAAATAGTACTCCTTGAATATTTACTCTGTGTTTGATATGATTTTAATTAAGTTGGAAAGAATTTCTCACTAGTTCTCTGATTATTTAAATCTAGGGATAGGCAAGATCCAGAAGTTGTACTGTTTCTCAGAAAATTTAGAGTAGATTGATGAGCAAATCAAGGTAATTTACTTTCTGATTGAATTAAAAATTACAGTCTTGGTTCTGAGGGTGAGGGAGAGCACTGCAAAAGTTATTTGTACTTATTCCAAAAAGGATTTCAGACAGAATAAAAAGGAATTATTCTTCACTTTTAAAAAAGTGTTTTATATATAATGGGTGTTATGTTCTTAATAAACACATAATAAAATAGATTCATCTTTGAAAAAAAAGTTTGCGGATAGAAACTGCTGTAGAAAACAAATTAATTGTGAAATGTTATTTAGGAATGTTTTTCTGAAACTGTAATTGTTTGGATTTATTTTGTTCCTTTGTTTATTTGTTTTTATCCGGTTGGCTGCTGTAATGGTTTTCTAATAATGTTTTGTTACTCTGTTTTATTTCAATAATGTGTAATAGTGTTCTTCCTATTTCAGTGAGAAACTAAAAATTCTAAGAAACATTTTTAAAACAAATGATTTTGATTCATCTCTTTGGTTACTAAAATAAAGTCATCTGTACTTTCAGGTTTATTATGTGGTTAAAATAAAATTTGTTTAATTTTTTTAAAGGAAATTATATAGGCGGAAATAATCTAAATAAAATTTAGATTTATTGTATTAAACTATTTGAGAGGTTGTAATTCAATTAAAGTGTAGGCTTAACTAGTTTTTTGTCTTAAATGGCTAATGTAATTTGTTATAAGTGATAAAGTATGTTTTTGATACTGTGTGCTTTAGTATTTGTTGCTTTTTAATGTAGTGATTGAATCGCGGCATTCTATTCAGTGCGTGGCATTCCTTTTCCATGATGCAAGGTGCTTAATAATTTCCAATGCTTCTTGAGTTGGAGTGTGAAGAAAAAAGGCATAAAAGGTTCTTGGTGTCATTCTGTTTTATTACTTATTGGTTATGCTACTAGTCCACCGGCCATCACCACTTTGGAGTTAGTTTGTCAGCGTTCATGTGCCAGGTGTTGAGTGTATAGGTAAGGGATTTTCATAGAATGCCTTTTTTAAGTTAATCTTTTTCTAAAATATTTTGCTCATTTTTTTTTTTTTTAAATTAGGGATGGTTAGGGTGGTATAAGGGAAATTATAGGAGGAGGAAATAGAATGGTAATGAGTTGAGGGTGGGAAAATATATATAACTTATTTTTTAAATGAATATTTTGATGGATAGAGGAAGACGTAATAGAAGTGTCAAAAATTGTTAATGTATTTGACAAACTATGGCTGCAAAAACAATCTTTTTGTTATATTTTGACATGAACAATTGTTCTTTTATTGGGACCATTAATGCTATTTTGGTATATCATGGGCAACTGAAGACAATAGTTAGCAGTGTCCATAAAGCATCGAATACCATGGTAACATCCAGTAACCCTAACAGCAGTATTTCAGAATCTCTGCCTGTTTAAATGGGCTGTCTGTGAATGTACTTGCTCAGGGATGCGTGAGCCACATCGCCTATAAATTTGATTGGAAGCTACAGTGCTGGCATAGGCTGATGGATAGCAGATTAGAGCCCTGATTAACCATGTGATACGAAGACTGGGAATATATTGTCTAAGCAAGATTCATCAGATGCAATCAGAATTTCAAGTGGTCAGATGAAATTCAAATGTGTATTGTGGCTTTTTCTCCCCTAGTGCTTTTCCTCCTAGGTTGCCTATTTTTTCCCTCTCTTTTCCCAAAGCTGAAAAATACTTCTTTGATGAATCTGCTCCTTACCCTAAAGCTGTCTGTCTGTTATTCATCAGAAAGCAGGTCGCAGTTCAGTGAGCAGAAGAAAAGATTTTAATAGAAGCTATGCCAAAGGCTGTAATGCATCATTTTAGGGCCCTAATTACATTACAATGACAAATATCAATGGTGACAACAGCAATAACCTACATCCTTTAATGGCTGTGCTGGAAAAGGAGTTTGGGCCTCACGCCATTAGATTAGACTCAGTTTCAAAACATAGGCCATTAGAAGTGTGTGTCCACAGTATTATTGGCTGATCACTGAAGCCCAGTGGAAAGGCCTGTAAATAAATGATGCCTCCCTAAAGCTGGGTCCTATGGGACAAAAGAAGCAAAATTAGATGACCATGGAAGCAGCAGTGTTTCCGAGGCAACTTTAGCTTTCAAAGTGAGGAATGTCCGGCTTAATTTTATGAAATCACACCCCCCACCCCCACCCCCTTGCTGCCAATTAGCCTGACCATGAAAATCCATTGGCATGACAACTTAAAGAAATTAAGAAGTCTTTTAAACAAAAGGAGGCCTTTAAAGAAAATGTTTGGAAGGCCCCATTTCCCCCCTTTTCTGTTATGTATGTGTGTGAGCATACATGAATCAATAAAACGACTTTTCAACATTATTTTTAAGAAAATGTAGATTTTTTTTCATAGTAGCTCAGACTTAAAATAACCTAGATCCAAAGTTATAGAAGCCAAATAAATACCTCTTGGTCTTTGTTTTTGCCATCTGAGTAAGTTTCCTTAGAGTAGTTTTTATTGCCTAGATTATGCAGGCAAACTAAAGAACTCAGTTTTCTTATGTGCCCACACATTTTTCCACCCTCCTAGCAAGGGACTATTTTATTTATGTAAACAACATAATGAGGAAAATATGCTTGGCAGATGGTTCTAAGCATTAGAATCATCAGTTTGGTCTGCCCCAAAGTGTCTCATTATCTTTTATTCTCTCCCCCTCCACCTCTTGCTACAAAAAGCTTAACAACCAAATGCCTTTGAGACGCCTTGCTTTCAGTCTGGTGAGTGCTACTCTCTTTCCCCAGCTCACACTGGAATTTCACCCCACAGCCACTGTGGTATGTTCATCCAGGTGGAGAGTGGTTTGGTGATTCCCATTGCAGCTTTTCATGGTGGTTTAAGCCTTCTTAAAGGGTAGCTAAATGCTCCGTGGGGCCAGTGCTGTAAATTAAATCAGGTCGGCGCATTCGGGCCCTTACTGCTGCTTGTTGGTGCTGGGTTTTTGTCCATCCTGTTAGGAGTGCAGAACTGGAATGCAAAGCTTAGGCTTGAAACTTCATGGTGAATTTGTGTTTTCTCTTGGCTGGCAAAGCTTTTAAGGTGCTGGCATTTAAAAGATTGCTTAGCTCTAAAGTCAGAGGGTTGCTGATGAGAGAAGGAAACCTAGAAACACCAGGCATGTCGTTGTCATTCTGGTAGTGACTTAGTGAGAAAGAGAACATTTTGTCCTCTTGTAAAATGAGGAACTAACCCTGATGGAATTTAAGAATGTTTCAAGACTAGGAATTGCTTTGTTTCCTGCCTCAATGCTTCTCTCCTTTTGCCCACCCCATCACTAAAATACAAGCTGTTTTATTTGTATGTGTATTAAAAAATGTGTGTTTTTGTATGTCACATCTCAAAGTCTATAAGGAGACACCTGATAATACAAATTAAGATGAACATTGGTGAAGCTTTGGGTAGTGTTTTAAAGAAAACATAGCGGTGGCCTTCCTTTCTTCCCTCCCTCTGTCCTTCCAACTTACTGTTGAATCCTATATTTGTAAAATTTTTATACTTAAAATTATTAGCGAAATATCTCTGTTAGCTGACATTATTGGGACTTTTACAGATATATAGTGCAATGACAATGTTCTCAAGGTTAATCTCCATATACACACAAATTGCTATATATAGGAAGATTTTAGCACGTTCTAAACCTCTTCACACAGAAAATTTTGGTTAATACAATTGGGAATTTTTACGGTTGAAGAAAACATGCCATTCTTCAACAGTTTATTGCTAAGGATCAACTTTTTGAGGTTGGCTGGGTGCTCTTTATGTGGGAGACTGATTAAATGATTTATAAAATCCCAGTGAGTACTAGTTGAAAGAAGTTGGGATATAGGGAAGAACAGATACTTACTATCTAAATCCTAAAAACTCACGGTTTCATAAAAAACCACATTAGAATGAATAAGGGTCCTGCTGAAGCCTTTTGAAACCTGATTTCCAGTTATGAAAATTAAATTCCTTTTTATGTTGTCCTGGTTCTTGAAGGTTGGCTTTTTAAGATGAATTCTGGTTAATAAATTGTGCTATTAATGTGGTACTGTTGTCGCTGCCTCCCTTTAATGGGCTTGCTGATGAGAGTTTTCCTCTTCCTTACGAAATATACCAGCCAGAATATAAAGTGTGTTTTAATATCATCCTGTTAATGTTTCGGGAATTTGTAACCAGCTGACTGTTCTCTTTATTGCTTTCCTTTCCTTTTTTGTTTTTTTGTTTTTTGTTTTTTGCAGGCAGAGATTGTCAAGAGGCTGAATGCTATCTGTGCACAAGTCATTCCTTTCCTGTCCCAAGAGGTAAGGCAGTTGGTTTCAGGCACTGGGCTAGAAGGTGCCATTTTAGTGGTTTTACAGAAAAGGGATTGTGAGACTGACTCTTTGGCCTTGTCAGCCTCTTGGTGTTTGTATTGCACATTTCTAAGCTACAGTGTTCGTATTCCAACTTCTACACCTTATTAACATTCAGTGGAATATAATTGTGTTTATATCATGGAACATTTTCTAATATGTGAAGGAAAATTCAGTTGTTAAAATATTTTGCTGTCATTGGGCAATGTAGTTTTGCTCAGAATGACCACTGTTTGTCTTAATGTCATCTAATAGGATAGATTGAAAAATTGCCCAGAAGATGTTTATCAAATAGAAAGTACTTTATATAGTCAACAAACTAATGTAACGTTTGGCTAGCTGCTCTTAAAAAGTTACTTCTTATTTACTCTGTGAAGACTTTATATTGCCTGTGCATTTGAGAAAAGATGTAGGATGACTCAGTGGACTCCCGGCTTTGAGCGCCATGGACTTCATGCTTTGCCAAGGCCAGGCATGTCGCGCTCTCTCGCTCACCACCTGTGGGTGTGCACAGTCTGCAAATGCACACATGTTGGAATGACGGGGTGCATTTCTAGTGCATGGTGGCTTCCATGTGGCTTTTTTCCTCTTTGTTTGCTTGCTTGCTTGCTTTTGATAGTTACAAAGTTTAGGTGGGCGTGCTGGAAAGGGATACTTTTTGCTTCTGGATTACTGAATCTTTCATTGATTGCTCAGGGAAGATCAGCTATGAGAAGGAAGAAGATAATGAAATATCTGCAGCTACAGTGCTATGTGTTGTGGGATAGAAGGCACCATGGCACTTTCCTCCTACCATTCAGTCCTTTCTAGTGTGTGTCGCTGCTTTGTGGGAGAGCGGTTGGTTCATTGCCTGTATACCAGCGTGCACAGGCTGATGACGTTAATGTGCAGCCCGTATTTGCAATTCGTGTGTTTACAGAGATGTGGAATCTCTGTGACTTCTTATTCAGACTGAACTGGGTTAGACCTCAGTAACCATGGGTACCTTTCATTGGGTATATAGCCCCTTTGGGTGCTCATATTCACAAACCTTGGACCTAATTTAAAATCCTGAATTCAAATGCTCCGGATCACAAACAATAAAGGGTATATTGTCTTTCTCCCCGTTTAGCTGTTGCTACAAAACCACCACCCACTATATCCCCATTTACCTGTTTCCACTCAGGATTTGCTTGTGACTAGATTAGATGGAGTGGTGAAGGAGAGTTGAGGGGCCTGTTTGCATTTCTTTAGGAAGCCTGGGTGGCCTCTGCCCACTCCAGACCAATGTGTTTCTTCTGACTTGAAGCAGCTCTGCTTTATGGAGATGGAGAAGGGGAAGAATGTGTAACCCACAGAGCTGTTACCAGGATGATGTGTCACAGCCCAAGACAGAAGAACTTTGAATTATCGTTAGGGTGGCATTAGGCCTCTGCAGACGCAGATCTCTCTATATAATCACCATGCAGCTTCTTCCCATGGCATTGTTGTGGGATCTGTGTTGTTACGTTTAGAAGTGGAAGGAGGTCTTGGGGGTGTTAGTGGAGCTGATTTGCCAGGAGGTTGTTTTCCCACGTGAGTTATGTTGTTTGTGTAAGCAGGCCCAGTAGGAACAGAATGTGTAATGGTAGTCTCACTGAGCAAGACTGGACTGGAATTAATTGGCTGAAAAAGTTGTACCCTGTAGAGGAAAGCCATGAGGGAGATAGTGGCAGCTCCTTTTTTTGCTTTAGGCTGGGAGTGTAGGCACCATAATCTCACCACTTACTATTTATTTCTCTACTACTTTTGACATTTTTTGGTTGAAATCCTTGATTCATGTGTAATGAATGACCTGTGTCATGGTTTACTAAATCCTAATTCTGTGTGTATTTTTTCTTCTGCTTACTTTGGATTTAATTGGCTCGTCTTTTTTTAGTTTCTTAAGGTGTGTTTATTATCTTCAAATGTGTGGGCCACAGACATGTTTGTTCCTGTCCAGTCCAGTCCTCCCTGATGTTTTGTGTCTGAACATTGCCCACCTTCTTTCCTCTTCTGGGCATTCTGTGAGCATCAGACTCCTCGCCTTTACCCTGAGGCCAGATGGACCGTAATCTGGAGGGAGGGGAGGAGGTAGGTTATTAGAGGAAGATGAATTCTATTTCCTGTCTCTTCAGAGGCATGGAAAATCACTCTTGCATGGCTGCGAGCGTCACTGGTGCCAGGACTGAAGGCTCTTAATCTGATCTTTTAACACCGGCTCTCTGTGTGACAGCCTCACTGCCAAAACGGCAGCTGCGGTATTAGAATTTGTTTTAAAATGTTTTTATTTAAAAATTAAATGATTGCACTTAGAGAAAAGAAAAAAACCTTCCCTGAAGACTAGTGCATGAAGTATAGGACAGTGGTTATAGAGATTTTTTATTTTGAAATTGACAGGAATGAGCGGTAAATTTATATACATCTAGGTAAAGTCTATTTTTAAGTTAGCCCCCATGAGCTGGTTAATCTACCTGCTTAATGTTGCTTGTGTTTAGTGTACCACATTTTCTGAAATTAAAAAACTATATATAATGAATGAAACTGTTAAATAATGTTTTAACTGCATGACTATATTTTAGAAATAAGTTGTATAATTGTATATCAATACTTTAAGTGTGTCTGTGGATATAATAATCACAGAGAAAAGTATTTTTCTATTAGATTTCACTAAAACATTTAAAAAAATTTATAGTCAATATATATTTTAATGATATGCTTGTTATACTCATATACGACTACTTCCAAAGTCCTGGGCATTAAATAAAGATATTGCCAACTTTTGTTATTGAAGTAACTCACTAAGAGTTCTTAAAATTTTATAGGATCCCTAATATCAGAATTTAGAGAAACCTTATGTGTGTCTTTACCTGTCTAAAGCTGTTTTTATCTCCCCCTTTCTTTTGGCTTTTAGGAATGGGTAAAGACTAAATCTATATTCTGCTGCCCTCAAATTTCTTCTTTAAAAGGCAAATCTCAAAGTAGTAAGTGGGAAGCTCTTCTCTATCCCACTTTGGGTCTCATTTGCAGGGAAGGAACTATAAATAATCAACCCCTGTTGGCAGTTCCATAAGCAAGAGACAGTCAGATCTGGGTCAAGCCTTTGCCTCCCTATTACAAATCTAGTGACTTTCTATAACTGAGTTAAGCTGGGTGACCTTTAGCCAGTGATTTGCCTCTCTAAGCCTCAGTTTCCTTATCTGTATGATGAGGTTAATAATAGCATGGAACACACATGGTCACTTTGGGGATTATTTGGGATTATACACATGCAGTTTAGCACATAGTAAGCACCTCCTGATGTTTACTAGCAGGAGTACTTACTGCAGCAAAGCTCTGAATTTGCTTGTGAAAGGACCTGCAGTCAGCACTCCCTCCCCTTTTTAGTCATTGCTTTTTGGAAAATTGTGAGTTGGTTATCTTCCTCTCTAATGTCCTTCTGATAGAGGGAAAAAGTGTAAATTAAAACTAAACCCAGGGGTGACACTAGCTGAAAATCTCAGTGAGACATTAGGTAGCCTCCAAAATGATTCTCTTCTAGCTCCAAAAATTAATTTTCCCGTTTAGCAAACACCTGTCTCTCCCCAATCAGCAAGTAGAGATCCATCCATTAGATGACATGGCTCTTCAAGGTGTTCAACCTATAGCGCTCACCTCGGAAGGAACTGTGGTTTTGGTTAGGGTCTCTGTTTTACCCACAAAGCCAGATAGAAAGACAGACTTCTCAATCCATTTGGGATCTGGCTGTTTTCAAAATATGCCTGATTGTTTAGCCGAAGTTGGTTTTGTTTTTAGAAGTAGTTTATGTGGATGCAGTCTCTTTTTTTATCAGCGGTTTCGGGATATAGCTTTTGTAGACCTTTAGACATTAGGGCCCTGAGCAGAATTGAAGGCTGCCAGTAAGTAGACATGCCACCAGCATCCCCCTTCTTTTTCAAGAACATACCTTTAAGGAGATTCTAATGTAGATTGAAAACTGTAGGGCGCTTGTTATACCCTGACAACAAAGTGCAGTGTTTCTGCTAATTTGGAATCAGACCAACTCTGCCTCTTATTGGCTTTGTGTTGGGAAAATTGATCTTTCTGAGCCTTAATATTCCTATAGAATGGTGGGAATAACCCCGTCTTTATAATGTGTATCATATGTACTGAAAGTTAAAGTACTTGGAATAGTAAACGCCAATTTTGTTTTATTTTCCTTTTCCTGGGAAATAGATTCTATTCCACCTTATTTTGGGTCCCAAAACATTTGGAGAGGAAGGATTTAGTAAAAGCTGGGAAGAGTTCAAGGTAGTATTTCAGAAGGAGCTGGCTGCTGTCTTCCTGCGAAGTTAGCTAGGCCTTGCAGCATTAGAGGCTGCTTCTAGCAGCTGGCAGGCAGCTCCATGCAGATTGTCTTTCAGAAGGAGGGGGATACTTTATTTTTTTTTTGGTAAGCCAGTAACTGTGTTTTTAACCTGTTAGATTAAGTGTTAAATATTAGGCAGTAGCTGAGGACCTAATTCGGAGGACAGTTGTGTTTTTATACTCTTCTTTTCCTAGATTATAAAATTGTTTACTTTTGAGACAGGGTATGTTTCATGGTGATAAACAGGTGTTCCTAAGACCTTTGAGAACTTCAAACCCCTGATCAGCTATAGGTGAAAATTTATTACATTATAGTTGAAAATCTTCTTTCCTCTGGTACAGTTGTATTTTTCAGAAACTCACTGCTCCTCTAACAAGGAACAGAGTTCATTGGAAGAGTTATGTTATGTGAGAGGCAGTGTGAGAAGAGCCTGAGGGTCAGGCAGACCTGGAGCCCAATTCCGGCTTTGCCACTTGCTTCCTTTATCAAGTTGGGCAAAATACTTCCTGGGCTGCAGTTTCCTCATCCACATAGTGGAAAACCTGTACTGTATACCTGCACCATAGGGTTGTTATTTCTGGATTAGTGACAGTGTAAAGAACCT